CTCTATGTGTTGTCATTTCCGACCACTCCACTGACTATAACTTCAGTAAATGTTCCATTCAACCACTAGAAATTTCATACGATTGAAGCATCAATGTGTATAACTCGACTGTTTTGAAGCGTTGGATCACTGGTGAGTATGACTTCTTTGTAACGCCACTCATATGCCTATTATGGTGTTTTAGAGTGGTCGCTTTGGTGCGTCAGGACACATAATCGAAATCTTCGTAAAGGAAAAGATCTATTTAGTTTAAATAGCCATTTGGTTATTATTTTTCCATATACCACATGACAAAAGTGTGCAAATTACACAGTTTTGGCTTTTTTTGGGAAAGTCAGATTATTTGTTTGTTAGTTTTTTTTTAAACAGCTGTGTTTTTATGTCTGTAAACACAGTTTGGCTGCTGAATCTCAATTATTGTTATGTTTACCAATATTATGTCTATTTGGGTCTTTCATCCAATTTATAGTCAAATATGACGGAACTTTAAACAACTATCAAACCAGGTTTAACTAACCATTTTGTTCAGAAAATGCCTGTACCAAGTCAGGTATATGACAGTCGTACCGTTGGTTGATAAGGTCGAGGGTTTGATTTTGTCAAGTTTTATAGACTTCCTCCTCTTTTTAATTTACCTTTGAGTTCGGTATTTTTGTAATACTTTTTTACAGGGTATCGTAGAGCCTACAACACTTTTTCATTGATCCTGTTTTTTACTTTCTGTAGCTTGAATGCCTAGATGAAGATTTGCTTGTCGAATGCCCTTTTGGTCTTTCTATCTTTTTTAAAGCGAAATACGTTTAAACAATTATGAGATTAAAAAATCGAATAAATCTGAAAACATTTACCATGATCATTTCCTTGTATTAATTAACAGGAAATGTTATCAAACAATCAGGAAAATATTGATAAATATTCCAATCAGAACATATAACTGTGATTCTCGCCATGTTGAAGTTATTGTATAAATTAGTATTTGTGTGTCATATTGTATGTATTGTGAAATTTTCGTTTAGTCTCGACATTAATGACCGAGGAGTTTGTCAAATTCCACAGTAAGTTGATTTTTTTGAAAATAAAATGGAATGATGATATATTTTCATAATGCACAGCATATTTTCAACGTTCAGTTTGATAAACTTTCGATTCTTCCATCCAAGCAAAACTAAGTATAAGTTTTAGCGTATGTAAACATAGAATTCAATCATTCAATAACAATTGTTATTCTGTATAATTCAAAATTCATCAAAACATTTAATGTACTTTAAAATAAGTTTCTATCTCCCCAGGCTAAGTTTTCCTATACGTCACTGGAGATTGTTTATTTGCCTTTTCTGTTTTTTGTTGTATCAAATCTTTTATATGTTTGACTTTTCAGACCTTTGGTTTCAAATGATCCAGAATCTAGAAACGCGTGTCGTACGTACCGAAATTAGAATCATATGTTTGAATTGAATGTTACTAATAAGATAAAAGAAACATGTTATTCTCTTAATATAATTTCCTATTATTAGTTTTTTTATGTGGTATATAAATATTCCTTGATGATCAACTCTATTTATAGCATTTTCAGTGAATACACCCACTCATGTACACAAATCAGAGGTTTTGAATCAGTGCGGAAAGTTTCAAACTCAAAACGTGCTAGAATGTACCACCTTACAAAATACTATATTTCGAACTGCTATCAATATTGTAAAATATTTACTTCTTTTCGATTGTTTTTTTCGTCAAATTATTCATAGCGACGATGGCAGTTGGGAACTGGTATGCTGTCAAAACTACAGACTACATCCAAACGCACAAGAGTGCATAGGTAAATACCTTTAACAACAACATTGAATGTAAAATGACAAAAAAAAAAAAAAAAAAAAAAAAATAAGTTTTGCCAATATAAAGAGGGAGAAGATACCAAAGGTTGAAGTCCATAAATAGTCGTCCAAATTCATCAAAGACATTTAGGCTTATAATTTGGTACGCCATAGTCGCATTTTGTCTACACAAGGCGCTATTGTATATTATAGGAGGACCAAACCAAGTTTGAAGTTGAAGAGCATTGTAAACCAATAAATGACAAACAGTTGTGTCCAACACGGCATTTAAAATAAACCTAGGGGCAGGAAATCATAGGGTTTCGAATAATGCAACATTTTAAAGATATTAAATTTAATAAAATGACCGTATAATTGATATTGCATTTCAACATAGAAGTGTCGACTACTGGGCAGGTGACAACCTCGGGGACGAAACGTCCTCCGGTAGTGGCATCGATCAAGTAGTTGTAAACATTATTCAGATATCAGGGCGGATGCGTGTGTCGTCTAGATAAGACTCGACAGTGATGCCATAAACGGATAGTACCAAACAAAATACGTAGAGAAAACAAAATCAACTAAACCTAACATATAATGTTAAAGATTTGAGCAACATCAACCCAACCAAAGCCCAGGTAAAATTCATGTGTTCCAGGGGAGGGGAGTAATCAGCTCCTGCTCCACTAATATCAACTGCATATGTAGGCGTTGCTGGAATGTTAATACAGAGAAATGGAATGAGAAATTTAAATCATCTTTTTTGTCATATATTTGTATTCAATCGACACTCTTTGTCATTTCTAGATGTATGTTAAGATATAGATTCCTTTTATCAAGTTCGATAAAATAGACATTCCATTCTGAATTTTACTAAACATTGAATTATTCAGGGAGAGGACATTAGCTTTATAGCGACACGAAATATAAAAGGATAATGCTAACTTCTTTTCATTATTCGTTAGAAGCTTTTGTATGAAATGTTCATCATTAAGGTCGTTGAGAAGAGAAGCACAGTTGGTTACCGGGTTTGCTGATAGTATGTTGCAAAACATGTCCTTCAAAACTAACAAATATGTTGTCAATAAAAAAAAATCAATCATCTGGATGATTTCAGTTTCAGAGAAATTTTCGAATAAAAAAGGTTAAAAGGGCCAAATAATGGACAAAGTTGAAGAGCATTCAAGTTGAAGATACAACATTACCGCTAATGTAATCTTGTATCAACGATCTTTTTAAGTCTGTCAGAACAATGACAACAAATTCTCACAAATGATTTCGTATTAGCATACCATCATTCATTTGAGAAACCATAATATACCATGATGTTCCGCACAAAAGAAAAACCGTAACGTTGTTAATTATAACACTGTCAAAACCATCCTTAATATAAATTCATCGTTTCAAATATATTTTGAAAAGTATAAATGAAGCTCTAAATACACGAATCAATAAACTGAAAGCTATTTCAATGCCTATTTAAAGCAAAATATTTGGTTACCTTTCTAGCAGCTGAAGCATGATACCATTATAAGCGCAGGCAATACTTTCCTTTGGAAGGAGTCGATGATAACGAAGAGAACCAATGAAATATATAGGGACGGTATAAACATACAGTGGAGATCACTTCTAACCTCTCATTAGAACTGTCAGAATAATCTGTCATAGAACTGTCAGAATAATCTGTCATAGAACTGTTCTAAACTGTCCAAGAACAGTTCTACCTAGAACAGTTCTACCCTAGAACTGTTCTAAGTAGAACTGTCAGAATCAAGTCTAGGTAGAACTGACCAAATCAGTTCTAGGTAGAACTGTCAGGATCAGTTCTAGGGTAGAACTGTCTAAATGAGTTCTAGGTAGAACTGACCAAATCAGTTCTAGGTTAGAACTGTTCTAGCTAGAATTGTCTAAAAGGTGTCAGGATGACAGTTCTACATACTGTCCTAGAACAGTTCTGACAGATTCTGACAGATTTTGTGAGAGGTTAAAAGTGATCTCCACTGTACATTGAAAAATCAATTTAATAAAGTGTTTTTAATCTAAATTTAAAATCTGTTGTCAATTATATGCCTATATATATATATTCACCAACCTGTCGTAGTTTCTCTTAAAATCGTGGCCTCATTTGCCAAAAATACCTATTTTCCACTAAATCTATGAAAAATAATTATATTTCTGATAACGAAATATATTCATTATCTTCGCTGGTTTGATATCATAGCATTGCACTTTAAAAAATTGTACAATACAAATGCTATCAAAAGGAATCAAACAGAATCACAAACCCTAATAATTTTTCAAAGAGATAAACTGTTCATATATTACCCCAAGGGTGAAAGGGGGAATAGAAATATAGTCACTACAGGTCTTCTTCCGACCGGCAGTAAAACCCAAAGTAGGGCGTCCGTTTGGCTGTGCGGGATGTATCAAGTACGCAGTCACGTCCGGTCAGAATGGGGACGTTAAATCCGATGCCTCGTGTAGAGAGAGAGAGAGAGTGCCACGCTCTCTGCACGTTAAGAACCCTTGCAACAACTCATTGAGGGGTCCGTAGGTGGCCTGTTGTAAGGCAAAATTTCTGTCTTTATCCAATTTACACTCATTTTTCAGTGGTAGTCTAAATTTCCCCGACCTTCAACCCAGCTGGCTTCTATTACAGGACCTACCCATTGTATTTATTGTTAATTTGATCTCGAACTGAACATGCATGAACTATTTGCCACTGGACGTTAAGCAACCAACAATCAATCAGTCATATCTTTATGTATCCAATGCCCTCGTAAAAAAGATCGTTGACTAATATCTAAACGTATAAAATCTAGCAAGCAAAGATAACTGAAGATTGTTTTGAAATAAGAAAAATATTAGGAAAAAGAGAATAAAGAAAAAAATAAAGAAAAAAATTACTGAATAGATTAATAAATGAATAATAAATTATTTAATTGACTGGTAGAGCTGGCCGAAACTGTTTAAAAGATAGAATTACCAGGATCTGTTCTATGTCGGAACTATTGACAACTGATGTAGATTGAAAACTGTCAAAACTGTTCTAGAGTAGAACTGTTTCTCTGCGTAATAAAATCTGCTTTAGGGACAGTTCTAGATCATTTTCTGACAGATTTGAATTTGGATCTAACTGTATATGATTAATTTAGAGATTATCAATTTTGATTGGTTGTTTGAATTTAATATTGAATAGATTGTCCTAATGGAACATTTGGTGAAAACTGCTTGGAAAAGTGTGGCCGCAAATATTACGGCTTTAGATGTCAGTTCGAATGTAACTGCTTTGCCAATGAGATGTAGGTATTTGTCATAGTACAGCTTTCGTGGTGCATTTTAATGGAAATATATATCCACTTATGCTTACTGCAATCTGCAAAAACATTTAAAAGGAAGTAACAGTTATAGGCCAATGATCGAGGTGTTGCTAAAACGAAAATATATTCTAAGAAACATGATGTAGATAGGTCAACAAAACGCATACATATAAAACAACTACTTGTATGTAGTTTTGTATTAAAAAAAGAAAATCAAAATTGAATTAAATCAACTTGCATCAATGTATAAAAATTCCTATGACTTTTAATGTGATAACCCCTCTGCAAAAAATATTGCTGTTTGATAAAATTGCAAACAATATTCTCTTACTTTTAGATGTAATAAGGCCACCGGGTGTGAAGAAATAGAGCTTTCTTACAATTTGACGAAAGGTACGGTACGTTCGCGCTTGACGAAATATACTTTAGACCCGTTTTAGGGATCCTTTCATCAAAGACATTTAGGCTTATAATTTGGTACGCCATAGTCGCCTTTTGTCTACACAATGCGCTATTGTATATTATAGGAGGACCAAACCAAGTATGAAGTTGAAGAGCATTGCAAACCAATAAATGACAAACAGTTGTGTCCAACACGGCATTTAAAATAAACCTAGGGGCAGGAAATCATAGGGTTTCGAATAATGCAACATTTTAAAGATATTAAATTTAATAAAATGACCGTATAATTGATATTGCATTTCAACATAGAAGTGTCGACTACTGGGCAGGTGACAACCTCGGGGACGAAACGTCCTCCGGTAGTGGCATCGATCAAGTAGTTGTAAACATTATTCAGATATCAGGGCGGATGCGTGTGTCGTCTAGATAAGACTCGACAGTGATGCCATAAACGGATAGTACCAAACAAAATACGTAGAGAAAACAAAATCAACTAAACCTAACATATAATGTTAAAGATTTGAGCAACATCAACCCAACCAAAGCCCAGGTAAAATTCATGTGTTCCAGGGGAGGGGAGTAATCAGCTCCTGCTCCACTAATATCAACTGCATATGTAGGCGTTGCTGGAATGTTGATACAGAGAAATGGAATGAGAAATTTAAATCATCTTTTTTGTCATATATTTGTATTCAATCGACACTCTTTGTCATTTCTAGATGTATGTTAAGATGTAGATTCCTTTTATCAAGTTCGATAAAATAGACACTAAACATTGAATTATTCAGGGAGAGGACATTAGCTTTATAGCGACACGAAATATAAAAGGATAATGCTAACTTCTTTTCATTATTCGTTAGAAGCTTTTGTATGAAATGTTCATCATTAAGGTCGTTGAGAAGAGAAGCACAGATGGTTACCGGGTTTGCTGATAGTATGTTGCAAAACATGTCCTTCAAAACTAACAAATATGTTGTCAATAAAAAAAATCAATCATCTGGATGATTTCAGTTTCAGAGAAATTTTCGAATAAAAAAGGTTAAAAGGGCCAAATAATGGACAAAGTTGAAGAGCATTCAAGTTGAAGATACAACATTACCGCTAATTTAATCTTGTATCAACGATCTTTTTAAGTCTGTCAGAACAATGACAACAAATTCTCACAAATGATTTCGTATTAGCATACCATCATTCATTTGAGAAACCATAATATACCATGATGTTTCGCACAAAAGAAAAACCGTAACGTTGTTAATTATAACACTGTCAAAACCATCCTTAATATAAATTCATCGTTTCAAATATATTTTAAAAAGTATAAATGAAGCTCTAAATACACGAATCAATAAACTGAAAGCTATTTCAATGCCTATTTAAAGCAAAATATTCGGTTACCTTTCTAGCAGCTGAAGCATGATACCATTATAAGCGCAGGCAATACTTTCCTTTGGAAGTAGTCAATGATAACGAAGAGAACCAATGAAATATATAGGGACGGTATAAACATACAGTGGAGATCACTTCTAACCTCTCATTAGAACTGTCAGAATAATCTGTCATAGAACTGTCAGAATAATCTGTCATAGAACTGTTCTAAACTGTCCTAGAACAGTTCTACCTAGAACAGTTCTACCCTAGAACTGTTCTAAGTAGAATTGTCAGAATCAAGTCTAGGTAGAACTAACCAAATCAGTTCTAGGTAGAACTGTCAGGATCAGTTCTAGGGTAGAACTGTCAGGATCAGTTCTAGGGTAGAACTGTCTAAAACTGTTCTAGGTAGAACTGTCCAAATTAGTTCTAGTCGTAGAACTGTCAGCAGAACTGACCAAATCAGTTCTAGCCGTAGAACTAACCAAACCTGTCAGGATTGTAGAACAGTTCTAAATGACGTCACTGCAGTTAGGGCATCTCACTGGTCAACATTCAGTGTTATTATTATCGTTGATAAAGCCACACGCAAAATGCATCCTGTCAAAGTTAACAGAATTTCAATGTATTTGAGACAGCGAATATTATATAATATATATATGGATAGAACTAACTAACTCAATTCTAGCCGTAGAACTGACCAAATCAGTTCTAATCGTAGAACTGTTCTAGTCGTAGAACTGTTCTAGCCGTAGAACTGTTCTAATCGTAGAACTGAGATTTGGTCAGTTCTAGGTAGAACTGTCTAAAACTGTTCTAGGGTAGAACTGTCAGGATCAGTTCTAGGTAGAACTGTCTAAATCAGTTCTAGGTAGAACTGACCAAATCAGTTCTAGGTTAGAACTGTTCTAGCTAGAATTGTCTATAAGGTGTCAGGATGACAGTTCTACATACTGTCCTAGAACAGTTCTCCTGACAGATTCTGACAGATTTTGTGAGAGGTTAAAAGTGATCTCCACTGTACATTGTAAAATCAATTTAATAAAGTGTTTCTAATCTAAATTTAAAATCTGTTGTCAATTATATGCCTATATATATATATATTCACCAACCTGTCGTAGTTTCTCTTAAAATCGTGGCCTGATTTGCCAAAAATACCTATTTTCCACTAAATCTATGAAAAATAATTAAATTTCTGATAACAAAATATATTCATTATCTTCGCTGGTTTGATATCATAGCATTGCACTTTAAAAAATTGTACAATACAAATGCTATCAAAAGGAATCAAAAGGAATCACAAACCTTAATAATTTTTCAAAGAGATAAACTGTTCATCTATTACCCCAAGGGTGAAAGGGGGAATAGAAATATAGTCACTACAGGTCTTCTTCCGACCGGCAGTAAAACCCAAAGTGGGGCGTCCGTTTGGCTGTGCGGGATGTATCAAGTACGCAGTCACGTCCGGTCAGAATGGGGACGTTAAATCCGATGCCTCGTGTAGAGAGAGAGAGAGAGTGCCACGCTCTCTGCACGTTAAGAACCCTTGCAACAACTCATTGAGGGGTCCGTAGGTGGCCTGTTGTAAGGCAAAATTTCTGTCTTTATCCAATTTACACTCATTTTTCAGTGGTAGTCTAAATTTCCCCGACCTTCAACCCAGCTGGCTTCTATTACAGGACCTACCCATTGTATTTTTTGTTAATTTGATCTCGAACTGAACATGTATGAACTATTTGCCACTGGACGTTAAGCAACCAACAATCAATCAGTCATATCTTTATGTATCCAATGCCCTCGTAAAAAAGATCGTTGACTAATATCTAAACGTATAAAAGCTAGCAAGCAAAGGTAACTGAAGATTGTTTTGAAATAAGAAAAATATTAGGAAAAAGAGAATAAAGAAAAAAATAAAGAAAAAAATTACTGAATAGATTAATAAATGAATAATAAATTATTTAATTGACTGGTAGAGCTGGCCGAAACTGTTTAAAAGATAGAATTACCAGGATCTCTTCTATGTCGGAACTATTGACAACTGATGTAGATTGAAAACTTTCAAAACTGTTCTAGAGTAGAACTGTTCCTCTGCGTAATAAAATCTGCTTTAGGGACAGTTGTAGATCATTTTCTGACAGATTTGAATTTGGATCTAACTGTATATGATTAATTTAGAGATTATCAATTTTGATTGTTTGTTTGAATTTAATATTAAATAGATTGTCCTAATGGAACATTTGGTGTTAACTGCTTGGAAAAGTGTGGCCGCAAATATTACGGCTTTAGATGTCAATTCGAATGTAACTGCTTTGCCAATGAGATGTAGGTATTTGTCATAGTACAGCTTTCGTGGTGCATTTTAATGGAAATATATATCCACTTATGCTTACTGCAATCTGCAAAAACATTTAAAAGGAAGTAACAGTTATAGGCCAATGATCGAGGTGTTGCTAAAACGAAAATATATTCTAAGAAACATGATGTAGATAGGTCAACAAAACGCATACATATAAAACAACTACTTGTATGTAGTTTTGTATTAAAAAAAAATTCAAAATTGAATTAAATCTACTTGCATCAATGTATAAAAATTCCTATGACTTTTAATGTGATAACCCCTCTGCAAAAAATATTGCTGTTTGATAAAATTGCCAACAATATTCTCTTACTTTTAGATGTAATAAGGCCACCGGGTGTGAAGAAATAGAGCTTTCTTACAATTTGACGAAAGGTACGGTACGTTCGCTTGACGAAGTATACTATAGACCCGTTTTAGGGATCCTTTATTTGACTTTTAAATTCCTTTTTTTAATACGAAATTTTTAAGTAATCTTATTTAAGGCTCTCATGGGACTTCAATGGCGTATTGCATAATTGTTTTGCCTATTAAGGACCATTGCACTGCATGCAAACACACATGTCCAACTTTGAATTTTGGGACGAAGAAGATAACTCACCAAAATTTGCTAAAATAGGTTCTTCAGAAGAAGACGTTCAGTTAAACACTAAAGATTGTGCTTGACCCCACCCCCCACTCCAAAACAATTACATCTTTGCATTATTTAACCTAACAAAATACCATGGCATATATACTGGAAACCACACAAAGAAAATAAAATTACTTCTTAAATTCTAAATATTAAAACCCTTAAATATGGTAAACATTTCCACTCAAAATATAGTATGCGGCTCGTTTTTTATGTCTTGTAGATATACCCGTCCCCCTGGGTAATACTCCTTGAGTCTTTCGGTGAGACTATACACCCGAGTTAGATACAGGTCTTTAAGCTTACCTTTGGAATCTTTCAGTGTGTAATTGAGTTTTCTACCAAAATGTTTACGGTATGAACAAAACAAGATCTATAATTAGAACTGAAGGGTGGATTTCGCAGAGGGGTGCACCCGATGTGTATCGTCTTAGCAGACATAGGATGTGTTTAGATATACGCCTAATGCGTACTATGATTACCTTTAGGTACCTTCGGGTACCTATGGTTAGATATTTTGAGAAATAAATCTGAACATAGGTGACCTTTTGTACCTAGGGTTCACCCACGGTTTTTGTTCATTTGCTAACTATAGGTTGCCAACCATACCCACACTTAATAGCATGGTTAGATGAAAACATTACGTCACAAACATGACAGAAAGTATAGCCGAGGAAGTTGGAGTAAATTAGGAAATCTTCCTTATAAATTTTTCAACCGTAAACAACGGGAACATTAAGACATAAATTATAAAATCGAAATTACAATATATGTTTGATAGTAAGTTTAATAAAAATAACAAAAACTTTTTGTCTTAGATACATGATTTTAATGGTTCCGCAACAAAGTAGTCGGGCCATATAGTTTTACCCTTATTTGTCATTCCGTCATTCCGCAACGAACAATTATACTGACTTTTTTTTTCTAAACGCCTTCACATATTGAGCTGATTTTTAGTATGCGAGTCTACTATGATGTATGATGAGCTACATATCAACCTTACATTTGGTTCTGCTCCGCTAGTTTTTGCCGAAATTACGGGGTTTAGACTTTGAAAATTATGTGAAAATAACAGTTATACCTTGACACAACTCGACAAAACTAACCTATCTGAATGTATCGCGGCCTATTGCATCGAAGCAATTCGGACGGGAGCATAGACTGCATGATTTATTTGCTCGTTGAATAAACATATTTTGTTGGAGTAAATGTTATTTAAAAATTAAACCAATCTCAAACCCAGTCGTCTTATCTTTGTATTCCATGGGGATCTTTCGATCTTTTTCTTAGGTTTTACCGAAAGCTTCTGTGGTATTTTTGTTTTGTATCCTTTTACTTTAAGTTGTTTTCTGAGTTGTCCAAAACGGTAGTTGAGTTTGGATTCCGATATATACGTCTGAATATGTGACAACTCTACGACAGACGTTCTCAATCGGATAACATGTGGTTATACAGAGCTAACACCATAAATTATAAATATTTCGTCTCAAATTCATTCAGCTCAACAATGTTAGATCTGCAAATTTGCATTCTCAAAATTTTGTTCTTCCCTCAGCGATATTCGAACCCCTATTTTTGTGACATCGTGGCAACATCGTCTGCCTGGTGTCCAGCACCCTTGACTACTCGACCAACTTAGGTATGTAAAAATATAGCTTTCGTTAGTCGAGATAGATCGATGAATATGTGACAAATTTACGACAGTCATTCTCCATCGGATAACCTGTGCTTATACATGTACAGGGCTAATAGCAGAATTTATATATATGTCGTCTCAAATTTAGCACAACAATGTTAGATCTGCAAATTTGAGTTCGCAAAGTTTTGTACTTCCCTGGGCGATATTCGGACCCCTAATCGACCAACTAGACTATATAATAATATAGCTTTCGTTACTCGAGTAATGCCTTTCCTCGTCGGCTTTATCTAGGGTTGTAATACAGTACATGATGTATAGTTGCAAGAAGATGTGTAAATGTACCTTGCAGGTCAACTGTTTATGTCTGTCGTAAAGTATGATTACTTACCATGCCGTCACATCAAATTATCATATTGAGGGTTGGAACTGGCATGTCAGTAACTGCTAGAAGTCTTTGATAATTCATGCTGATCATTGTCATTTGACTTAGTTTCTTCAGTTGCTTATTCTAACATCGGACTCAGACTGTTTTTAAACTGACTGTTACTGTACGTATTGCTGTGTGTTTGTTTTTACCACATTGGCTAGCGATAACGGGAAGGGTTGAGATCTCACAAAACATGTTTAACCCCGCCGCATTTTTGCGCCTGTCCCAAGTCAAGAATCTTTAACCTTTGTTAGTGTTGTGTGTTTGTTTAATTTGGGTTCATTTGTATGTTTGGGAGTTTAGTGTGTTGTCCATTTTGCTGAACTAATATTCTATTAGGACTAGCTGAAGCCCGCCTCCGGATGCCCGAGTTTCTCGTTGCATTGAAGACCCATAGGTGGCCTTGGGATGTTTTCTGCTCTTTGGTCGAATTGCTGTCTCTTTGACTCATCTCTATGTTATATATATATTAGATTGATTAATTTGATTAATTGTTATTTATTTGACGCCCAGTTGTTAATAGTTCATTCATATTCAGGTCTAGAACAAATTAACAGAATATCTTATAGTCAGCTAAAGGTTCTGAAATATTGGGCGACCACTGGAAAAAGAGTGTATTTTATAAAGGGAACGGAAATTTTGCCGTTTATTAGACAACATATAAACCCCTCTGTAACGAGTTCTTCAACACGCACACATCTTTGAAATTGTCCTTCAAGAGACATTTGTTGTTTAATAATTATAGCTTTGTTGATCATTGAAGATTTGTTTATATATCATTGTAGATTTTTGTATCAAAATTACTGCTGGAGGCGCTGTAACCTTTGCAACTATTATTATTTTTCTCTTAGGCATGTAAGTTTCAAAGTAATTCATCTTAGAACTACATTAATGGACTATTCATTTTTGTACCCGGAAGACGACCTATTCAAAATGTAAAAGGAGGGGGGTGGAAGGGGGGGGGGGGTGGGAATTTTACCTTTACATAGAAAGGGGGTTTTAGTTTTTACAAAATTGAATAGGGGAATCATTTTTTTTCTGCGAGATATTGTAAACAAAATTAACAAAATACGAAATCAAGAATGGATGTCAAGTAAAATTGCACATCAGTATACTACCACTAAGGTTGTTAGATCAAATCTAGATCGTAGCAGGGTCTTAACTGGTTTTCCTGTCGAATGTTGATGGTTCACCAATAAAAACTGGTCGCATAGATAAAGCAGAGATTGCTGAAAGTGGCATTAGACACCAGTCATTGATCTTTTTACCCGACAACATGATAAGGATTACGAAATTTAAAAATTTCTGAAAGGGTATGCAATTCTTGCTACAGTAGCTATAGAGGCATATGTATGCTCGTTTAGTACAAAAGAGATTTCTATAAACAAAGTAAATGCTAGAAAAGACAATAACTGTCCATTCAATACACATTGTCCCAAGCATGGACATTTTTAAATTAACGTTTTTATCATTTCACATAAATGTACATGTATCATTCGATCATGCATACATTTCGACATTTTGCTGTTCTAATATGCTTATATGCTGTATTAACTTATGACTGACAACGTACTAACACATATTTAAAAAAACCAAAATTATAGAAATAGCGCTTTTTTTGCTGCACTTGATCTCAAAGTCACAGCTAGCATTCAATACGAAAGAAAAACTCGCATCTCGCTGAAAGTTCAAGAAAGCTACTAGCACCGGTTAAGAAGAATTATTTGCTAAAAGTATCACCACAATTATTCTCGATTGCAGATTGTTGAAATAAAAAAAAATAAGCATGGAGGGAATTAATCATTTGATACTATGATTTAAAAGTCGATGATCGATCAAATCGTGCTTTTTCAGTTAAATGCTTAATTTAAAAATCATCTACCAGAACATCTATATACTAGTTACCTGTTTCTGCATAAATCTGGCCTATTTTATTGTTTTAATCGACAAGCACAAACACTTACGAACCTAATGAAATGCTAAATTTAGTAATAGATTTAACTGTAGAGTGCTTCAAAGTTGACATTGTCAAGTAATGTGACCATCGGCTTGTCAATGGCTTCTGTTTGCTTCAATTCACATAAATAGATATAAGAAGATGTGGTATGAGTGCCAATGAGACAACTCTCCATCCAAGTCACAATTTGTAAAAGTAAACCATTATAGGTTAAAGTACGGCCTTCAACACGGAGCCTTGGTTCACACCAAACATCAAGCTAAAAAAGGCCCCTAAAATGACTAGTGTAATACCATTCAAACAGGAAAACCAACGGTCTAATCTATATAAAAGAATAGAAACGAGAAACAATTATGAACCACATCAACAAACGACAACCACTGAACATCAGGTTCCTGACTTAGGACAGGTGCAAACAAATGCAGCGGTTTAAACGTTTAAATAGGCGCAAACCTTCACCCTACCTGAAACAATAATGTGACATCACAACATAGAAAGACACTATAAAACATCAATTGAAATGGCTTAACTCAATCAAAAGACAGAATGATTTTTCAGTATCTTTATCCAAAGAAGAAAATTGACGAAAGCTTCCTACACCACTTTGACAGTACGACGAGATGAGAACAACTACAACGTAATACCACATCAAATGTCCGATTCCATTACAGGGCAATATTATGAGGTGTCACCGTTATCAGAAATCCCTGTTTCAGGATGTCAACCCACTGTCCAACAGAACATAGATCAAATACAACACGTTGATACATCTGGATATCTTATCCCTTCTAGCATGCTACAGACGAGCGGAGACTATCAAACAATAGCAGACTAATTTGAAAATTGCACATTATAGTTTGTAAATATTTTACACTTTGAATGTACATACAGATACATTTTTTATATAAGCTGTAACTAATTTGATCATATTTTTGTACGTTTACATTTTACTCAAAGTTTAGTACAGTACAAAATTTGTTCGACTCTATAACTGATAGTATTTTAGTCTAAAACCACTTTAAAGAAAGCAAAAACAAATGATAGTAAATTTGGAGCACATGTAATAGAATGTGAATGAAAATACAACAAAGTATGTTTTCTCGTGAAAAGTGTCAATGACAGATTATAAATATGACAATCATTTTCATAGGTGCAATGATTTGTTTGCTACATTTCAGTTTGACTATTTTTGCTATTTATTTTAGATAAAAAGTCTTATTTATAAAGAATCGAACATAAAACAAAATATGTCCCATGTTCGATTATAGTCATCAAATTTTCATTTAAATAGAAAACACGCGATTTACATTTCAATGAGCAAAAAAAAACAAAACATGTCGATAAAATTAAAACATTTGATCGGTAAAAAAGCAGTTGCAAGAACTATTGGTGAAAAGTATTCTAAAACGCAATGCACGTATTTGTAACATGCATAACAATGGTAAAAAATGTGCATAAGCAGAAAAGAAACAAAATAAGATTTGTGTACAGACGTGCACCTGGAATGCACCCTTTCATGTATTGAAGTTTTTGGAAAATCCCGGACCAAACATAATTTTCAATGCAAAATCATAATTGCAGAAATAGATTACCTTAGCAGTATTTGGTAAAACCTTTCGGAAATTTCGGTTCTCTATGCTCTTCAACTTCATACTTTATTTGGCCTTTTAATTTTCTTTTGTTCGAGCGTCACTGATGAGTATTTGTAGACGAAACGCGCGTGTGACGTAGAAAATATTAAATCTGGTATCTATGATGAGTTTATCATAACCCATTTATATAGTTCTCAGTTCAAACATGCATGTATACTATCTGCGACAACTAAAACATATTTGAAAGGTTTATTTCACGATAGTGGCTATCCATCGATTTGGAGTTGGAGTTGAATTTCAAGAATGAGTTCGAAATATTCTTCGAGTTCGAGACAATCTTCGAGTTCGAGTATGAGTTCGAGTTGTGATTGGAGTTTCTCTTTGAGTTAAACTTCGAGTTCTTGTTACATTTTGAGTAAAAGTTTGAGTTAGAATTAGATTATCTTAATTTAAGTCCGTATTTCAATATATTTAAATCACGATCCAGAACTTTCAAAAAACTATAATACTGCTTCCGTTTAAGAGCGATGCCCCATGCACTTATATACCATAAGCAAAGTACCTGGTTAGTAAATCTCTTTTGTCATATCTCAAATTACATTAGCGGAATGTGAACTTTACAAGGGGCGACGGTATCCTTTTGTGAGCTCTTGCGACATTTAATTTGGAGTGAGACTGGTCGACATAGTAAAAAAATGTGCCAAAAAAGGTAGGGTGACATGTTTCCTGCGGACTATATAGTAGGGTGCCCAATGTCCAAAAAGTCCTCTAGTTAACGAGTTTAAGTTAACGGATAACACACGGCTGATTTTTTTGCACATTATAGGAAAATCATTATATTTTACAATCATGATTGTCGTCGTAAGTTCCCGTGGTCACGATTTTCTAAATTTCGTGTTTTTATAGGGTACACCCAGATACCGTATTGTACGGGGAATCTTTAACATGAAAGATAAAATTATTGCGTACTTTGTTGGTAGTTAAAACAGTACCTATAATATAGTTTATATATTAAAAATATATCATATAACGAAATCGAAAAGTATTTAAGTGATTTTGATATAAGTATTTCAGCATTTTAGTAAGAGTAAAATTTTACCCGAAATTTACCCTATTTTCATCGAAAGCAAAATTATTACGTGTATCATCACGTGTGCCAAATTGCATGCGTGAAATAAAAATCGTTTTGAAGAAATTAGCAATTAAAAACACAAATTAAGTCAACATTTTGGTATTGATTAAACACGGATTATCTCGTGTCATTAATCATTTTGTTGCTTACACTATTAGGTCATTAACAAGGACAGAGGTCACTCTAAACATTACTCTTTTTTGCTTGTTGTGTGGTTGATTTATTTGTTGTGAATAGCCAGCTAACTTTGTAGATTGTCACTTTGTTCGGCGAAATCTGTTTTGTGTCTGTTTTTCAAAACTTTAAACTTTTTATTGAATAAATATTTTGTTATAATTGTAGTATAAGAATCAAATCGGTCGGTTTTGTTTCACACCCGGAATATGGCACATCAAAAGTCTTGTATGATGTTTTCGACATAAATCCCTCCGAGGCTCGGTGGGAACGAAAATATACCACCGTTCGTGCAACAAAATAAAAACAGGTACAACAGACAGCAACCAACGACAACCGTTGAATTGCAAGCTCCTTATTTTGGACAGACACATACAGAATTAAGAGGGGTTAAACATGTTTGTGATCCTTCAACCCTCCCCTGACCTGGACAATGGTATAACAACACAGCATAAGAAAAATCTGCTGAAAACAGTTTGAAATGGCTTGACTTATCAAATCGGCATGAACCACAAAAACAACTAACATGAAGACAAAAAAACACTAAGTACCGATATAATAGTACTCGCCGTTAGGGTAGAACATTTTATATTCTGAAGAAAGGGATGGGCTGGCCCCAAAATTTATTTTCACTTTTGTACACATTCATATCCTCAACTATCCTGCATTTCATGTTGAAGAGTGTTCATTCTCATCCTTTCTTGTGCAAAGTCAATTATTTCAGTTCATATCAGGCCAAGTAATTCATTTTCAAAATCCTCATTCCCTCCCTGTTTTCGAAATCAAATGGGTGTTCCCTTACTCCTTACTGAAAACTAATGAAAGGACGTCATCAATAGTCTGAGAACCCGACCGTACGAGGGCTGTATAGCCAGTCAAGGTCGTTAAAAACTTCCATCATCATAGTCTGAGAAATGTATGATAATAAACATCATTACCGTAAAAACTAGCTTTTGTTATAAATCAGGCCGTTAGTTTTTTTTTCAAATGAATTCTTTCATTTTTTTCATAACTGGCCTTTTTATAGCCGACCATACGGTATGAGTTTTTCGCATTGTCGAAGGCCGTACGGTTGCCTATAATTGCTTGCGTCCACATCTCCTAATTTTTATATTATACAACAAGTTTTACATAAAATTAACACTATCTATGTTCCATGTAAATGAGGTAAGGTCAGATGAACTCTGCTACAAAATAATGTATACCTTGTTACCATTCCATACACCAAATATATTTAACCCACTACTATCTGAGACTGTACGGACTTGACCGTGAAATTAGGTCGATGTCAGGTGAATCATGTCTGACGGTCATGACTTGACCACTGAAACTCAACCTTGTTCTGATCCGTGAAATTATTTCGAGGTCAGGTGAATCATGTCTGATGGTCATGTAGACCTTGCAAGGATACCATATATTAGTAACCAAATATAGTTATCCTAGAACTCATGATAATTGAGACCTTCACATGACGAAAAAAGCTATACAGTTTTTAAGCAGTCACTTAACCATGAATATGAGGTCAAGGATATGACGGAAACTTCGTAACATAATGGATCTTTATACAAATTATGAATCATTCAGTTCCTCTGCCCTCTGAAATATAAAGCTATACAAACAGTTTACGGTGTTGCCGCCACCTTTATCAGATTGTATTCTGTATTCCTCGCATTCTGCTACCTGCGTCGAATGCGATTTAAAAGAAAAAGAACATCTGAAATTAGCTCTCTTACCTAAAGCTAGTCGGTGGGCTTTGAACTTAACAGTAGACAATGAAACGTAATAACTACTACTAGCTCGGCAATTTTTTTATGTTGTTTCTCTCTTATTAAAATTCTGATCTTTATTAACTAGCATGCTCTTATATATAAGCTCAAATGAGGATAACGAAATCAGAGATCTATATTTTAATTAGATTGATGTTGTTTACAAGTGTTTGTAAAATACATCGATGCTGTACAAAACTTTCTTTTTGTAGATAATCTTTAACTTCATGTCAGTTGTAGGCCAATTTATGTTCGATAAGTCATGTACATTACACTTGATATAAGTGTGTACGATGGAGTGATTAGCCTGCTGTTTCTAATTCCAATTTGGTTTTCATAACTTGTAACAGAAACCTTCTCCCTTTTTCACCGTTTGCAGTTTTTTTTTTTTATTTCTGTAAAGGAAATATATACTCAGACCTGCTAATTCAATCAATTCTGCGTTAAATTATCAGTTTTGGAACTAAGTACTATTTGATGTGCTTCCACGTTCACCAAAAGAAAATTGGATATTTACCCAGAAAATCATGACGAACACCTTCTATCAAAAGACTGAAAAAAATAACATTTTGGGAGGGTAACTTATAAATGTTAATATCTAAAAAACATTTCTAAAGATCACTTATATCGAATCTTATGTAAAAATTCCGATTTTGGAACTTTTAAAAGGTCAAGGTCACTATTATTTAACTGCTCAATGAAAATTGTAAATGTGCACCTTTAAGTACAAATGTCAATTTCGAACCATATTTGGCAATAAAATTATAAAATTATTCCTAAATATAGAAACTATAGTTATAATCCTTTGAATTATTTGAATTTATTTTGTTATAAACGCAAATATGTAGGGGTGGCCAGCTGTCTAAACGTGACTCTACGTTTTCCTTGAAATTTTAGAATTGACCTTTGACCCAAATTTAAGAAAATCGTGACCACTGTAGACAACGACGACATCAATTTTTCGACGAGGTTTGTTCACCTCTTTCCAATGATATAAAATATAGCCGTGTGTTATTCCGTTAACCCAAATCGATTAAATTTGTTGACTGGGCACCCTACTAATAGTCTTTGTACTAATAAAAGATCTAGGTCAACTAGAACAAATCAGTGTTCAGGGTTCATACTCATATTACATGCACATGTTTACGTCCTAATATTAATGTTATTTTTGACACTCGACATTAAACACAAATTCATCCATCAAGCAATTCAACCATCATGAGTAAAGTGTGACGGATTCATCGAGGTTTCCAGAATTGTGTCATTTAACTAAGTTCAATCTTGTTCTCTCTTGAATCTTGAATTGATTCTAAAGAATAACTCTTTTTTTATTTGTTACACTACTAATCTTGGTCCTCGCTTTGCCAAAATCTCTTACTTTGTAAATTGCATGTGCATGAGTTTTTCTTAAATGTTTGATCGTTATCTTCAATGAGCATTTCGGTTGGATGTTCCGCTCCATTGAGAGTTTTCAAAATGGATGTTTGTCTCGTCAGTAGATTCTATTAGTTTACGCACGCGGAGTAACATGTGACATATACTAGTATCTGTACAAATAGCTTCATTCCATCATCAGAATGATTACTATAGGAAAAGTAA